TGGGTCCTGTCAGCTGCTGTGCCATGAGCTGTGGGCTCCTGATGGCTCTCCTGGATCCCTCAAGGTCCCCCCAGTTTGGGAAGCCCCCCGTGCACCGCTCTGGAGTGCTCTGCTGCAGACTGTGCCGGCACTGGAGCCACTCACATCCAGTCCTCTTGCCGTGTGCTGATGTCATCATTAATAGCAGTGAGACTGGAGTTTCAAAAACCGATCAGTGCGTGGGAGCCCCTTCCAGATGAGTCTGTCCAGCTGTTGCACTTGGCACCGTCAGCTCCATGCTGGGAGCGGCTGGGGCTGCGCGCTGCTCGCTGATGCATTTGTCACTGGGGGGAAATTTGAGCTCATTCATCTAAATACCAGCAGCTGCTGGGGTCTGTCCTGCCCTTTGGGGTCCATGGAGCCATCTCTGGGCCGTGGCTGTAGACTCTGAACTGAGAGAGCCTCGATGCTGCAGCAGAGAACGACCTTTAGATCGGTCTGTCGGCAGTGTGGAGGTGTCTGTGAGCCGGTCTGTGTACTCGGGGCTGTCTTCATTCCCAGGGTATTTTTAACTTTTTCAAGAGATTGCTCGTTATGCTGATTACATTATTTGCGATGGTTTTGTCTCCTTTGATGCCTGTGCCAGTAGTGCTTATGTAAAGGGACTTGATGATATTGAATGGTAAGAATGAACAAATGCAGCAGGAATTCAATTGCTATTTTGCTCTCAAGCACAAGTGTTCTTCTTTCTAAATCAAGTCTGACCACTTTGTCAGTCAGCTGCTTTGTTGGAGACATGGAGAAACTATTTACTTTACATTTCATTTAAAGGAAATTTTTGCTCACTTGAGGTGCAGTAATTTATTTAGAAGTTTTGGAAACGTATGATTTCCAAGTGGGCTTTAAAAGAGCTGATCTTCATCTCAGCTGCAAAATGCATTGTGTTATGGGAACGTGTCAAATAACTGGTCAGCAGTACCTTGTCCTCTGTACAGACAGGGAGTTTGAAGGTGTTTGTCAGATATCACCCAGAAGTTATTGAAGATGAGTTCTTTTGGGTTCTTTCCAAACTAAATTTCTTAGTCAGCATCCATTCATCTCAACCGGTACATGCAATTCTAGAACTCATGCTATAGAGCACCTGATAATTACTGACAGTTTAGAATACCTCGTTGTAATGTCATTTACAGCTTGATCAATTAGTTGACATAGCTCTTCTTAAATTTCAGATTTTAAGAGATTTGTGAGTGTTTTCCAATAGTTTGACAGAGCCTTCCCCTGGGTGCAGTAAACGTTGCGTTGCTGTGAATTTACAGCCCTGTCTGCAGCACTCTGAAGTCATCTCAGATTCTGCCACGTCTCTGCTTTGCTCTGATGTTCAGCAAATAGTTTGCTGGGAAGTTTGTGTGCTAATCTGGCAGAGAAACCAACCTGCCAGAGCGAATAGCTCTCTTTTGGACGGGCGTGCTGAAATGAAGTGTTGAGCTTTAGAAATGCAGCAGTAGGATGGGATGTGGCAGCCAACAGTTGGATTGTCTTAAACTGCCAAAGACCCTCAGTCAGAGAAGCACACACGCTTCTTTCATCAGGGTTGGCAGTCCCAGTCGGGCGATTTCTAAAGAAGAATTGCCATCAGTTGGGTATTCAGAAGAAAAATGACTGTTCAAAAATGACTGTGCAAAAAAGCAAAATTTCATTATACCATGGTGGGGACACTCCATTATAAACTTCTTTGCCTCTCTGTGCTCAGACAGAGCAGGGTTTCTGTGTGCTTGATTCATCACACTTGGCTTGAGAGACAGCACAACATCTCCAGATATCGGAGAGGCTGATTTTGTGGTGCTTCAATGTCGCTTTTATTCAGCCCCTACTCAATAGAGCTTTGTGTTCTTCTTGCTCCTAGAGATTGTAACTGCTGCTGTGGAGGCAGGAGTGATGGGGAAATATGGACCATAAAAAATATTGGCAAACTGGTGTTTCTCAAAAATATGACCTGTGCTTAAACCAACAGCAAAATCTTTATTTGACTCTTAAATCATGATATGTGATTGTCTTTTGATTCCTTTGAGCCTCTAAACAAAAGCATGATGTGCTCCTGCTCGCTGTGAACTCGGGATTTGAGACATGGCAATCCTGCAGGGAAAGCTGTGCTGTTCCAGCTGCACTCCTGGGTGAGAGAGCTCTGGGGTGGGGGTGCCGTGCCCAGGGCTGGGCTGGGGGCTGGGTGTGGGTGGTAGCAGAGAGGAGGGACAGGAGAGCCCTGACAACCTCCTGCAGCTCACCTCTTCATGGGGAGGACTTGTATGCAAAGAGCAGTGGAAGAGAAGCTTCAGGAGCAGGACACTAATATTGCTGAAAGCTGATCGTGTTCTCTGTGGTGGTGAGGCTGCACAGCCTTTCTCTCAACTTCAGTTTGTTTTCCTCCAAATATAAGCTGTTACATCTGTTTGCCTGGTGGTTCTGTGCTGGAAACACACCTCTCCTCTTGACCCCTTTGCTTTTTGCCCTGTGAAACTTGATTTGGAGCTGGAGGGAGGAAAAGGCTGTGTGCTTTGCAACGGAAACTTGCTTTTTGATCCCCAAATTGACAATGGGATCGATGAAAAATGCTGTTCAAGTGTAATCATATGTGGCTGATGGTTTGTGGGAAAGTAATTTATTCTGTGTGAGAACATCTGTTGTAAGGGAAAGGCTCGGGGAGGGGGAAGGCATGGGGTAGAGCTGCAGATACTACTTCAAATCACTTGTATGTGAACGAGAAGGATAGTTTAATTAAAGGCAGAATGGAAATTCCCCCGCTTATAGAGAAAAGTATCTGGAGAAATGTGGTTCAGTGGTGTTACTGAGCATCTGCTGGGTCCTGCTGATGCTTTTACGGCACATTTGCTGAGGGCTTTGCAGGTTGCTCTGCCTCTGGAAGGGCAGCACTCGGTGTTCATCTCAGTTCACTTGGTGCTATTTTTACAGCTTTCTGTGTTCAAATGGCTCAGAATAACATGCTTGTCATTCACCTGTCAACTGAGAAATGTAACTTATTTCAGACTCCCTTCCCCAGAGAGTAGCTCCAATAGGAGGAATATCTTCAATTACTGAGAAGTTCTGTGCTGTCCCCTTTCTGCTCTTAAAAGGCAGGTGTTTGTTTACAGAGGTCTCTGTTTCAGGCTGACCTAGTTAGAGGTGCTGCCGTGCAGCAGGTCAAGGTTGTGCAGTGAAGTTTTAGCTCAGACTTTTTTAGCTCAGATGCTGCTCAGATTTTGGAGGATTGTGGATGCGTCTTCAACATCCCCCGTCTGGGTTTTATTCGATGAATCGCAGCATAAATGGAGGGCTGGAGGAACCTCCCTGACACCTCGGGCTTTACCTGGATCACATCTCTGGATCCTCTCACAGAGGTGCTCCATGCAATTCCCAACAAACCAGGCTGAGCTTTGCACCTCCCTGCACAGGGGGATCGCTCCGTGAGCCTCCGAGTTCCTTTGTGTCGACATTCAGTAGGATATAGAAGTGTTGGAAGAAAAAGGGAGCATCCCTATGCTTATGGACATGAGGATATTTGACCATCAGATCATGGGAGCTGGAATTTTTCACTGTGTGGTTGCTGTTGTCTCACCCGAATGGGAATGGGCTTTTAAACCCTCCTGTCAAGTGCTGCCAGTGCTGCTCTTGTACATTTTACTGGACAGACCTTACCTGGATCATGGGTGGCAGTGATGTCTGTCCTGTCTGATGGGCTGTGGGGGAGAGGCTGTACA